AGGGACTTTCTTTAGAGTGGAGACTTCACAGGAATAAACATACCTACTTTTAGGTATAAAAGTTGATTCTTCACTCCATTACACTAGTTTACTTACATCACTTACAACAGGGGTCAGTAAAGTTACACTGATTCAGTTTCCGTGCATCAAAAAGCGGACATGTTAACCACTTTTACAACATTATACAAATCCTCTTTATTACAAATACTGTTATACAAAATTTGTCAATACAGCAATTTTTATATAAGCTCTTTCTGTAGTCTCTGACTTGATGTCCTTTGGTGCAATCACCACCTACAATTCACACTATGATTAGGTGAGATGCAGCTATTTAACAGCTATAAAGATTGCTCAGCAATAACCAGAGTGCACTGCAGAACTGCTCAGTGACTGGACTAACTTTTGAGAACTCTCGCACTAGATCTCAATTCCACCCTCCATACCTTGGTGCAGAACATCAGTACAAACACATTACTCAGCTTTTACAGAGTTATGAAGGATCTGCATACTGAACTTAATTTGCTATAGTTTTCCTTTATCTTTCATAGAGACTTTCCATATACAGATTTTTTCTTTCCTTACAAAAAGAGAATCATAATTCTGTAATTATGACACAAGAGCAGAATAGTATAAAATCAAGACTCTGTACAGTCCTGACTTCACCACAGACTTTTGGCATATCCATAGAAGAGCTGGGTGAATACCATTTCCACCCTATGTAAAAAATCAGTGCAATGCAACCCATGGGATGTATATCATTTAAATTAATTGATTTTAAAGCATTTACATGCACAGGCAGAAAGTGTTGACATAAACTTGCTCTCATTTCAAGACTTTTGAAAACCTTTTCCTTTTTAAGAGTTAGTTGGAACTGAAAAAGATTGAAAGAACAAAGACCCATGCCAGGTAGACACAGTGTATATTATTGAATTTCACAGCCTATTTACTAGCACTACATACAAATATATTCTACAAAACAAAGTGGTTTCATTTACCAAATATGTTAATTATAGTATGGCTAAAATACAATGTTTAGAACACAGGGGTATTTGTGAGTCTGTGTATGCATTTATAATACAATATTTGATAAAGTAGTGCTGCAAGATAAATTTATAAAATATTGATTTTTAAGATATTTTTATATTATTTCAGATATTTTTGTATTATTCTACTTTTAGATATTTATAGAAGTGGGTACTAAGTTAGAGATTGCTCCCTAAGCTTGTTATATCTCACTAACTATAATTAATTATATAAGTAAATTAATTACACAACATATGGCTCACTGAGAGTAATTAAACAAAGATCTAAAAAGCCAAATGAAAGGAGAAAGAACAGGAACAATTTCACTTTGGAAAAAGCTCCCAGGGATTTCAGATCTTTCTCACACAAGTAAATTCACATTACTGGGCATGATAACATCATTGATTTTATATTAGCATGGAAAGATGGATGGTTTATAGCCCTATAAACTTTCAAAACACTAGCATTACAAAATTTTACTTACAATCTTGCAAAACTATCATCATAAGGGAACCAATCTGTCACTGATGTCGCCTGAGGCATTCCACTTCTATGTCAACAATTATATATGATAGTATAGAAAACACTATGTTGAAACTGATTTGCTAAGCAGGAAACTATTTTGTAGCTCGCACGAAGGTAACCAGTTTAGCAATCGGGCAGATCACTCGATAAAAATAAATGCATGCATCTCTTTCCAAAGAAATGGAGTTTTGCAGGGTTAGTTTGGCTTTTCCCCTTCTACCATCATCAGTGTGTGGGTTGGTTCCATGGTATACTTCCCACAGAAAGAAAATGTGTAGAATCTGCTTGTAATCTGACAAACCTTCCTGATGGTGAACAAGCTTGATTCCACAGAGTCCACCAGAGTGAAGAAGTCACGGAGAGGAGAGAGGTCATCTTATAACCTAAAGCATGCAGCCAGGCTTGTGCTCTTGCATGTCTCTCACATATTCTAAAAAGTCATAGTAAGATCCTGGCCTCTATCAAATGGAAATGTTACATTTATTTCAATATTTAAATAGATTAATCTGACTTTAAATGCCTATAATAGGAAAATATGGATTTCACCTCAGGAATGAAGTTTTTCTCTGCTGACAGTAAAATGAGCAGAAGATGACTCAATCAGAGACAGGTACAGAGTCGATGCCCACATTTTGACATTCCACTATGGAAGCTAAATTCTAAATTTCTAGAGAAATTGCCAGAGCTCTAAGTCAGCACAATGTTTGCCTGCGTGCATCAACATATATTTGAAATAAGGGGAAAAATTTCTATCTTAAATGAGCTTTTGAAATATCAGTGAAGTGGGCAGCAAATGCGACCAGCATGTCACACTTAAGTCATTAGCTGCCAAGCAGACATCCAGCTCAGAGGCATCGGCCCATGTTAGGCAGCATGGGGTTCCTCTCCTCTCCTGCACTGGTTGGTGCGAGTCAGGCAGTGCTGAGCCTGTTCTTTGATCCAATCTGAACGGAGACTTGGTGAAAAAGAAGAAGAGCAGAGGCAGCAGCAACAGCGGCAGTTCCTCACCTGTGTGCTTCTCCCTTCTCCAGCACACCCTTCTGCTGCCAATCTGATCTAGCTACACTGTCCCCTGGGTATGCTGTCTTTCCCCTGGTGTTCAGATTTTCCCTCGACTTCCTTCCCTTAGAATGGCTAGCTTGATAAAGTTACCCTATTTCCTCTAACCATGCAATGCTCCCCAAGGTCTGCTTGATTGCTCGATCCATGCACATCCTTTTGCTCAGGCTCTGCTTCTCACCACTCAAACTGGTGACCGCCTTCACTCATGCCACATCTAAAAGCCTAGTGATAGTGAACAATGGAATAGCTTGCTGGAAATTGGAGTAAGGAAATACTGGTCAAGCTGGTTAGTCTGGACAGGGTATGGAGGGTTCCCCACCTATATCAAGTATGAGAGGTCATAGCAGAAGAGGTGAGAGTGAGAAGGATAGGCAGGAGAAGGGGATATTGAGATCATCTCCATAAAAACTGTAAATCACCACTGATCTGCTTTCCATCTTTTGTGACAGAACTCCAAGAAAATTAACTGGAATTAGAGCCAAAAGACAGTTTAAAGTTCTTTATAAGCACCTATTTTCTTTAAACAGTGAATAATGTTTCCCTTTGGAAAGTCCTCTGGAAATCGACTGTGATCTTATAAGTTCACCATCTTGAAAATCTAGTCACACAAGATTTGTACTCTACACAGAGTTAAAAGCATGCAAGCTTTTTGACTGATGTAATGCTGACAGACAGCTGCACAGAGACAGTGAAGTTTAATCAAAAGCAAGGCAAGAAAATTAGAAGGCTGGATTTTAGTAAAGGTATGCTGATAATTAAAAAATGCAGGGTTTAGTTACACCCTGGAACACTCCATAGGAATTCTAAAGCAGTTTCTGATTGAAATGGATATTGTCATTCGGTCTATATGTATTTATTCTGCATTATGAGACAGAACTGCTTGCTTGCATGTAAGTATGTGTCAATCGTGAATATTAAAGGCAATTAAATACAAAACTTCCCTGTTAGTCTTTGCCTCCTACCTATATTTTCCAGGTACAAAATATTGTACAAATCAGCCTCAAAAAAAAAAAAAAAAAAAGAGTAAGCTTAACACTGTAAATGCATCTGTTCCCCTTAATTATATTATAGGTTGTACCATACAGGCTGCTTCCCACCTTCCCCACAGAATGAATCACTATTAGCTGAGTGTGAACAGAGCTCCCTCTAGAGCTTGAGTATTAGGGGAGAACACACCATGCAAACCCCCGCTCCACAAGCTTAAAGTGCTTAGAAAGGCAGCACTGTGAGAAAGAGTAATGCATAGACCATAGAGGCCAGGGAGCCTGTGGCAAAGGCTGCAGGCTGAGATTCAAAAACACCTTGTGTCAGACATGGATTCCCTGTTACCTGTGAAAAAGACACACCTTTCCAACGTAAGCTCGTAGGAAAAGGGTTAACATGTTCCGGGTTTATGGGAGAGGTGAGGTATAAGCCCCTGAAACTTTGAACCTTATTTGTTGTCTTGGGAGCAGAGACCGACCCCACCTCACTACAACCTCCTGTCAGGCAGTTGTAGGGAGCGATAAGGTCCCGCCTAGAGCCTTCTCTGAACTTCTCCAGACTGACCCCCCCCAGGTCCCTCAGCCGTTCCCCATCACACTTGTGCTCCAGGCCCTGCACCAGCTCCGTTGCTCTTCTCTGGCCCAGCTCCAGCACCTCAATGTCTCTCTTGTAGTGAGAGGCCCAGAGCTGAGGCCCTCGGTGACATGGTTTAGTGGTGGACCTTGTAAAGGTTGAACCTCATGACTTTAAAAAGGTCTTTTCCAAAGTAGCTGATTCTATGATTTATGACAGGTGAGGTTTGACAGGATTCATGTATGCGTCTGCATGGAGTTAGAGAACAGAGGACACAACTGCACGCTTGTGTCAAACAGGTTGCACGGTGAGGCAAGGACTGACATATTTAGCCTTTCAGAACATTCAGGACCTCAGTTAACTGAGGCCCAACATCACCTCCACAGGACCAGCTGTCCTCCGGAGTACTCATTTCCAAGCCGGGATGGTGCTAGCCCCCCTCGCCCTTCACAGCCAGCCAAAAGGGGTGAAGCTGGTTACCAAGTATTGCCCAGCTTCACCAGTATTCCATTCTCTGGCTAACAGGGAGCACTGGTACAAATGTACGGGCATACTGAAAAGGCGGGCTGCGACTGCGTCCAGGTGGGCTGCGCCCGGGGACACGGTGCCAGGGCTGGAGCCGCCCGGGAGACGTGCCTAGTGCCCGTCTCCTTAAAGCAACTCCGGTTTCCTCGAAAATCCCCCGCTCCGCTTGCTCAACCCGACCATACTTAAGCGCTTCCGCCAGCCCCGCTCCCCATGACCCCGGCCGGGCCGGCCGCCCCGCCGCTCCCACCGCCTCCCTCCGTCGCCGGGCTGCAGTCCCCGCCTCTCCTCACACAGACATAAGTCACCGCCCCGGCAGCAGCGCACAGACTTCACCCTTGCCGGGACGCTGCCACACTGCAACCCGAGGATGCTGCGCGCTGCCGCCCGAGGACCGGCCCTGCTGCTGAGTGCCCTGCTGTGGAGCCTGGCCGCCGCCGGTGGGTAACGGTGGGCCGGACGCTGGCGTTGGCTCGGGGGGGTAGACAAGGCGGCGGTGCTCGGTCCTTCGAATGGAGAGAGGCCAGACGGCAGGCAGAGCCGCCCTGCAACGGTGGCTGTGGTGAGGGGGCAACGGCTGTGGTGGGGGGGACAGCTGCTGCCCGGCGCGGGACATTAGCCGGGAAAGCGCCACTGCCGGCGGCCCCGGCTCCGCTTCAGCACCGGATCGCCCTGGTCGCCGCGGGCTGGTGTCTGCTGAGGGGAAGGTCCTTCATAACCATGGCCGGACCAGTGCTGGGGAGCCTCAGGGGTCTGCTGCAGGGATCTGCTGACCTGCGGTAATGAGGTCTGCGAGATCTCTTCCACTTTTCCCAGCGCAGAGGTTGTTGAGGCAAAGATGGTGTTTAGATAATAGGATCTCGATCAGGGAAAGGATGGATTTCCAGAGGTTACAGGGGTTGTGCGGGGCTTTCCACTTGGGCTTCCTCACAGGCAGTTCACTGCAGCGGCTGCGGCAGCTTCTCTTGCCCCTCAGCCTGTCAGTGAGCTCATGTGCGGGGAGCCCCTCTCACAAGGAACTGCAGCACAGCCGCTGGTTATTAAAGACTTTGTCCTCCCCAAATAAATAGGGAAAGTACCAGCTAAGGCCTTCTGCAGCAGATACAGCCAGGGATGAGTTTGAACCACACCACATTGGTTTGGTACTTCAGTTGGAAAAGACCTTTAAGATCATCCAGTCCACCCATTCCCAGCACTGCCAAGGCCACCACTAACCCATGGCACTGAGGCCTCGTCTCCACGGTGTGTGAGCACTTGCAGGGACGGTGACTCCAGCCCTGCCCTGGGCAGCCTGTTCCAATGCCTGAGCACCCTCTGGGGAAGGAATTGTTCCTCAGCTCCATCTAAACCTGCCCTGGTGCAGCTTGAGGCCGTTTCCTCTCGTCTCATCCCTTGTTCCTTTGGAGCAGAGCCCAGCCCCTCCTGGCTCCATCCTCCTGTCAGGCAGTTGTAGGGAGCGATCAGGTCCCCCCCAAGCCTTCTCTTCTCCAGACTGAACCCCCCAGGTCCCTCAGCCGTTCCCCATCACACTTGTGCTCCAGGCCCTGCACCAGCTCCGTTGCCCTTCTCTGGCCCTGCTCCAGCACCTCAATGAGGGGCCCAGAACTGGACATAATACTTAAGTTACTTCAAGCTTCTGTAGCTTCTTCCGAGGTCTCTGTTCAAAAAGGAAGCATTAGACAGAACTCCAAATAAGTTACCTCAGATCTTCAGAGTTAGAAGAGGCAAAATTACTTTCTTCTCCCATTTCTTGCTTCTGCCAGGATGCATTCCTTTAGTAAGATGAGAATGAGCCCAGAGGGCAGGACCAAGCCTTTTCCCCCAAAAGAACTTTTCCAAATAGCAATTAAGAGCAACTGCTTTATTTAAGTAAACAGAGACTGCAGGGAACCAGGATATACATACAATATGACTGATGGCACTCTTTTCTGTATTTAAAGGCAATCCAGAACTACCAAGAGCAGTTAATATAACTTGGTCTTCAATCAATTTTAAAACTATACTGCAGTGGCAGCCAAAACCATCAGGTTACCTCTATACAGTAGAAATCCATGGGTAAGTAGATAACACCAAGGTGTGTCCATTAATGGCAGTTGAAGACAATGAAAATAGAGTGTGTGGATATTTTGGAGACTGAATGTAACAAGAGCCCAAACATGAGGATTTAGGAAAACTGCCAACCTATCTGTTAATATTTCTTTGTATCCAATTACAAGAATATCTGATTCAGGCTTCTGGTTTCACCCGCTTCAGAAATGGAGAGTTGAGCTTTAGATTAGTATTTCAGTTCTGGGGTTTGGTGCAGGCAAGCTGCACCGGAGATTTAGGCCAGGATACTTTGAAGAAGTTAACTCTCAGTCTTACATACTATGTTTTAGACAGAACTTCCATCTCTTTGTGTCTTCCAATATGTCTGGACTGAGTGTTTCATCTTTGGTCTTAGGTGTGTGATAAATACAAGTCTACATTTTATTCTAATTGTTGAATCATAGTCAATGAATAATTTGTCTCGCTGGGTAATACTAAAAATCACCTTTGTTTGCCTACCTCTGTTGGGACTTCCTCTGTAATCATGTTTTATGTAAGCTGTGAAATATTGTGTACATAGAAAGTAGCCACCTTATATGAAGAGTCATAACACCTCTTTCAATACTGCACAAAAACTTCCATGAATTTCAATAATAAATCTCTGCTGTTCTTAGCTCCCATATTAATTCATATCCCATTATTAAACATGCCTTAAGGGGAAACTGCATCATCAACTCTCCTACATCATAATGAAAATAACCATGTAGTCTTTAAAAGGGCCATAGAAATGAGAGTGCTTTCATGACTAATGGATGAAATATCAGTGCAATGGCCTAATGTGCTCATTTATTCTTTAAGGGAGTGATTAAATTAATAGACTTAAAAGCAGACACAGAATGAATTTTATGAAATTTATGAATCTGGAGTTTCTTTCCAGCAACTTGAGCTTGCAAAAAATTGAAGTCTGTTTGTCCAAGGTGCAGTATGGGACTGAGTATAGTTCTGATACAGAGGCACTTCTTCAGACAAGGTGCTCTTATGGATGAAGTGTGCTTTAAATATTTGTTTTCTCATCTGTGTATGATTGCAGAGTACATTTGTTTGATCCCAAAGATCCAATGCTCCCTGTCCCTTTTCAAGGCACCTCCAGGATACTGTCACTAACTGACCTGTGACATGATAAGAAATCTGGTGAAGCGAGAAGGGAGTTCATATGACTTTTCAGTATAACTTTACCTACTTGGAGGAAAACTCAGTTATGAATTCCCGAAGAGCTGGCATTCTTGCTCTTTCAGCTGAGATCACACAGCTTGAATTTTCCTTAGTTCACCAGCAAAATCTAGGACAAGACTTGAAGCAGTAATATCTAATCTGTTTTTCCATTCCTTCTTATTAGGGAGTAAAATGGGGAAGTAATGTTTTTTCCTGGTTTCATTTTTATTTCTCAAGTAAATGGATCTGCTTCCTATAATTTAAAAATCGAGAGAAGTGCAGGGGTCATGGGTTTTGCCAATATTCTAAGTCTGCAGTGAATATTGTTGCTATTGTCTGGTTCTTAGTGTCATTTGCACCTGCATAAATGCAAACTCAAGTGACATACATGAGGAGACATTAAACAGTATTGGTGTCAACAGAGCTTCCTGAGATGTTTCTTAAGGCAATAGTTTTCAGATGCATTAGGGATAACACTCTCAAAGTGCTTTATACATCTTATGGGGTTTAATTTAAATAAGTCAACTGCAGAAAAAAAAATCAGAACTGCTTATGGTTTCTGTTAAATTCATATAAAAGATTGAATTTTTAATTCATAGACGTATCCAATAACAGATTTCTGTAATTAATATGGATCCCATCTTATCTACCTTATTGTACTTTGAATTATAAAAGATAGTTCTACAGGATAGTGGGTTTGGACTTTTTTCCTCTCCTTCAGTACATCTACTTATCCAATGAATAAGGGAAATCTATAGTTTGAGGGGGGGGAAAGTGTGTTTTAAATTATCTGAACACGTGAAATGCTGGTTGTAAAGTGCTGATGTTTCTTTCTTGCTCATTTCAGACAGACATCTGACACCAGAAAGAAATGCATACTGACAGCAGAAACCGAGTGTGATGTCACTGACCTGCTCAGGAATGTGAGAGAGACCTACACAGCACACATCCTGTCTGTAGCATCCTCGGGGATGGATAACCTTGAAGAACCACCTTTTGCAGTCTCTGAAAAATTTACACCTTATAGTCAAAGTAAGTAGGACTAAATCTTGCCAGAAACTTCCTTTCAAGATTACTTCCATTGACTCAAACAAGGCTGGGATTGGGCCAAAAGGTTTTCTTCCTATAGATTCTTACAGTAGCCTTACTGCTACCTGAGAAGGAGAAATTCAGGCATAAAGCTTTCCCTGTTGCAGGGGAGTATGTAAGGCTTTAGTTACCATTTGTTTCTTACTGCAGTGAGTAGACCATTTTATCTTTGTTAATAATCTAGGATTTCACTGTATTACTTTGGCCCTGTAAACTTTTAACAGATTTGAGGAGGGAAGGGAGTGGAGGGAGGAAGAATAATGTTGCAGAGAAAGGATGATGTCAGGTTTTAATTCTGAAAATGCTTCTTTAGCTGTTCTCGGAAAACCGGAGATACAGAACTACACACAAAAAGGTTCGAAACTGAATGTTGTGTTCCAAGATCCACTTACACCATACACATTTCCTAACGGAAGCTTTCAAAGTATTCGAGATATCTTCCAAAATGACTTGGAATACAAGATCTACTACTGGAAAGATCAAAGTTCTGGGAAAGTAAGGTCAAACTCTACTTTTTACATGTAGCTGTATTACAGCTACACAATTCCTGTGCTCCCTTAAGAATGTCTGCAGAAAACACTGTAATGATTTTTTTTTTTTTTCCTTTACAGAAAGATGCAATAACAAAAAGCCATAAATTTGAAGAAAGAGTTGACAGCTCAAAGAACTATTGCTTCTACATACAGGGAATCATTCCCTCCCGCAGCGAAAAACGCAATGGTCAAGAAAGCATGGTGCTCTGTACCAGTATAGGAAGGAATATCTTAGATGGTAGGTATCTGGTGAAGTCTGTCATACAGTCTTAAGCATTCTAACAAAAGTCACTTTCGTTCTGAGCATATTTTTACACTTCCTTAAATTGTGATGCCTGTTACAGAATAAACTGTGAGAGGACACAGTCTGAACATGGGAAGAACTCATACTAAGTAGGAGCCCATCTTCTTTAGCTGTTGGGGTTGATTTTAGGGTTTTGCTCAACTGTTTTAACTACTTTTAAATTGTATGAGCTGATGAGTAGTCACTGAGGTTTCGGATTGCATCACTAGCCTTCAGCTTCATTTTGTTGTTTCCTAATCACTTTCCTCAGATCCTTCCCAATAACAGGTCCCACAGTAAATGCTTGAAGGATTTAGCTCTAAAGCATAGGAGTGCTGGAAACCATTAACTTGTCTGAACTGAACTTTAGTTACTATCTCAAAAGCAGATACTGAGACTTTCTTTACTGTTACGTGACAAAGTCAGAGGTCAGCAGATTGACTTCTTTACTGGTAAATAAGTTAGTGAGTGGTTGGTGGACCAGTCTAATTCCAGACAAACAATTTGGATAACACTTTCTTCAATGTGAAGTCATCAATAGTGATTAAATAATATTAAATTGCTGTACTGTATCTTTCTCTTCCACCAGTTAAGAATATCTGCACTCTAGAAAAGCTCTCCTAAAATTAGCAAATCAACTCTCCCAAATTACCTTTCTTGTCTAGATACATATTTTTATTTATTAGAATTCAACTATTGTGCTAAAGTACAACTTGAATAGAAATCTCCTCTGTTGGTGTTTGGTAGCCTCTGAGCTAGAATAAATTGGACTTACTTTCACGGAAGTAGTGCAGGGGGAAGGGGAATAGTTTGGCTTACTCCTGTGGTGGTATTTTTAGTGCAGTAACTAGATAAAAATCTAGTGTGAACCAGGTGAAATAAAGCTTTACCTCAGTTCAACAAATTCAGGTGAAAACAAATTCAGTTCACACTGAGGTAGTCACTCCACTCCTGTGACACTTACAATACAGCAAACATGTTTTAGTTTAGTGGAGTGGGTTCCAAGAACTTGGAGCACTGTAACATTATGGCTTCTGGTATCTGAATCTTAATGTTTTTTTCTCCCCTGCAGAGTATGGAGCAGAATTTTTTATCATCATAGCAGTGACAGTGATTGCAATCATCACTGTTGTCCTATCAGTGATCCTCTGTAAACACAAGAAGGCAAAAGCTGCAAGAGAAAAGGAACCACTTAATGGTGTCTAAGGAAAAGTTACTATTAACACTGATTTCAACAGCACTTCAAAAACAAAGAAAAAACCCAACCAACAACAAGAAAACCCATGCATTGGGGAAAATACGGCAGAGCCTTTTAGCCTCTCCAGTATGGGAATTTTGAAGCCCAAACTTTTCCATGGATTCAGAAATCTGTTAGACAGTCACAGATGAAAACTCAAGAGGAAAAATCCTGGGTCACTAGTGGCTGGAGGAGTTTTCTGGTGACCTGTTGCAGTAGCCTGACCCTACTTATACATCTTCCCAAGCTCCTTCTGTCGTCCTGTCTGAAACAGGATTCTGAGCTACACAGACTTTGACTTGACCAGGTACAGCTGTTCTGAAAGTATGGCCTCTCTGAGCCAGAAGATTCATGGTACTTGTGAGGGGAAAAACACTACTTTTGAGAAATACCTGCCGATGGCAGTGGGGGGTTGGAACTAGGTGATCTTAAGGTCCTTTCCAACCCTAACTATTCCATGATTCTACGTGTCCTTTACCTGATGAAAAGGAACATCTTTTTGTTTCTGTGAAACAAAACCTGTATTTATCCGACTTTCTTTTAACATTATTAACGGGGGAAATGATCTGTTAGTACAGGTGTGACAAAGATGCTACTATGATTTCTGCACTTCTTGGATAAAATTAACTTTGTTTATTTATCTTAGGATAGAGACAAAAGTAAACCAACTGAAACTACTGTACTGGTGACTTGTAAGGAACACTGTTGAAGCAGGTGGCTGCTATCCATCTGGAAAGGATATCCAGATTACACTACACCTAGAGTTATACAGACAGGCTAGTCTGAAGATTCCAAGAAAGTGTTACAACAAACGCTTTGCATTTTTTGAGTCAGTAGTAACTCACCTCATGCAAGCACTGAGTAGGTAGCAGTATTTACTGCATTTTAAACCTTATTTTTAATTAAACAGTTAGTGAATGAATAGCTTATGTGGTACAGAATCAAATCATCTTGGTGATGGGACTTGGAAGTACCTGTTGCTTTGACTATTTTAATATTTATTTTATAAATGGGAATCTAATTTTTATACTGGTGATATATGTATTTATAATGGTAATTTATACTTTCCTAGGGAAATAAAGGTGACTGGCAAAATCAGACTTTGGCTTCTTTTGTTTTAAATGAAGCACAATATTTATTCCAGAACTAAATTAAAAACACATGTAAGAAACTTCTCTTGTATCAGCAATGTAGGCAAGCTGCAACTGATGTTGGGATTTCCTGCTGCTAAACCAAATCAGAGCAAATGGGGGGAAAAAAAGATGCATTTTGTAGTTGGTACTAACTGACTGCATGTCTCTAAGCTTTATATGTGTCTTAAAAGAAGATATCCACGGCATTACGAGAAGAAATAACATCAGGTAAAATTAATATCCCAATCTACCACTTTTGACAGACTTGAATTTTATGTTTTTCACTAATGCTGTATTACAGATCCCTTCTTTGTGTGGATTAAGACTCCTGTGAACTTGAGTGTGGTTGACAGCAGTTTTCTTTGTTCTTCAATTCCCCTTCTATAAAGAAGGAAGAAAACAAAACAGCACAGTTCTGCTCCAAAAAAAACCTTTACTTGATATTGTGCAATAGCTGCTTAATGAAATTTCTGTTGATGCGTAAGGCTTGTAAGGAGGAGGAATTTTACAACAGCAATCAAACATAGAGCTTATGGAAGTAAATTCAAAACATTCCGAAGTTGTCATCACTACTTCCCTTCCCAGTGCTGTTCTGCTTCCTCAGCTTCATTTGTGCCAAGCTTAGCAAAGAGCTCTCAGGAAAGGAAAGCCTGAAGGCTTACAGCATCGCCTTTGCTAAAATATAGCCGGAGTTAATTGTCACGAGCTACATAGGGTGATGTTATAAATCGTGCTTCCCCAGCTCAGAGATTCTGTGGTTTTCTGAGTATGGATATGAATATTTTTATAGATAGACAGAAAGAACCAACACCCACAGGAATGCAAACAAGTGCCTTAAAAGGCATGAGAGTGAGCCACTGCTGCAGGAGTTACAGAGACCTGCAGGAGGTCTGGAGACCTGAAGCACTTCTGTTCCCAAGCTGCAGTGTGTTACCATCCGACCACCAGTGTCACAGGGCTCGCAGATCCCATTGCAAACAGGGTTTTTGCTCTTTGTGGAGCCAGTAGAGAAAGGGGCTTTTTTTATTGCAAACTTCCTGCAGTATTTTCCCTTGGGCCAGTGCACTGAGCCCACGCAAATGCTTTATGTATGCAGAGATTTAGCTTCCTGAGAGCATCAGGGTGGGCAGAAGCAGTTGTTGAACAACAGTATTGTCACTAGGAAGAAAGACTAGATCCTATCTAGGCCACCTGTGGCTGCTTCAGCACTGTGCCCATTTAAGGTGGAGCCAGCTACCCAGGGAAGCAGTGTAAGGAAGGGAAGGCTTTACCTATGTACCTAAATTCCCTGGCTTATCTTCTAAGCAGGTTTCTGTAATGTGCTCCTAATGATGCTCCTGATTCCCTTGCTCTGCTTTGCTCCCTATCATCTGTGGCAGGAAAAGGTACCCAGCTATTTAAAGTAGATAAAAACCTTTGCACAGGCGCTTTGCACAGCGCCCTGTGAGAGAACATAGCACTTGTGTTGTCTGCTTATACAAATGAACATGCAACAGCGAATACTGGAATAAGCTGCTTTCACTTTATAGCACTGTTTAAAACCACATTATTCTTCACATGTGTAAATATAGGCTGATACTGTTCTGCTTGTTTTTTGCCAGCCCTGCTGGCATTACAGACAAAATTACTAGCCCAGGTTGCTCAGTGTATGTATCATATATATGTTAGATATGGCAGCAAACAGCTTAGCTAATCTATTTCTAGCAGGCTCAGCTCTCTGCTATGAGAGGGCTGCTGCTGAAAGGCATGTAGTGATAAGAATGTGATTACAAGCTTAGCTTGGATCACTAGTTATGTGGCAACTCAGAAGGAGTTTCTGTATGAAGCTGTGCTGGATTCCTTCTTGGTTCTGTAATGCATTTTGCAGGATAAAAGTCATTGCTACTCAGTTTCAGAACCTTGTAATACACAGGAACGAGTGGGCTTTTGTCAGCAGCAGACTCGAGTCAATCAAGTAGTCTTCTAATTGCACAGTATCTATCCAGATACAAATAACCACACTTTCTATAGTCTATGTTCAACAGGATGGGGCAGCCACAGCTTCTCTGGGCACCCTGTGCCAGCACCTCACCACCCTCACAGGGAAGAACTGCCTAATGTCTGAACTAAACCTACCCTCTGTCCACTTAAAGCCATTTATTAAATATTGGAAATTAATTGGGTAATGGATCAATAGCTTCCAGAATATTTCCTAGCACTGCTCTGAGTGCCTTTCTCAGTGCACCCATTTACCTGTAAATATTAATGGTTTCAGTGACTTGTTTAAACTAGCAATGAAGATACAAATCGGACCTCAAAGAATATTCGTAGGTTTGTTGTATTTGCTGATGCATTTTATCCTATTTCAATTTTCAAACTTTCTGCTTTATTACTTCAAGAAATATTTAAATAGATTCTGTATCTTTTCAGTGCGTATATTCTTGATCCTTTTGAATACTTATGGCCTGAGATGTGTTGCAGAATTCTTCCCTAAAAATAAATGTGCAAGCCTAGTTAATGTTTGTATCTGGCGCAATAATTTAATTCCACGGTCATTTTGGTTTTAATGACTAATTTATAAGCCAGACAGTATTTGCTCAGACAAATAGTCATAAATTATATTGCTGATGATGGATAACTTTAACATTTTAATGATTACATTGTGTTGCTTGATAAAATATGTTATAAATTATGCTTTAACAGGATCGTACCTATTTTAGCAGTATGTCAGCATTACTGCTTGTGTTTGCCCTTAAGCCCCAGTATGAATATTCCTCAGCTTTTTTTTCCTGTGACACTGGTTTCGATGGCAGGGCTCAATTTGGGGGAATACTCTTCTAGCAGAATGACAAAGGCGTTTGAATCAGTGGGGTGGGAAAGGGATTTAATCTTCTTGCTGTGTCAGTGGGAAAACTCCAGCTGAAGAGCAGTGAGGATCTGTGTCCCCATAGACTTTATATGCTTATAAAAGAAATCAGCTTTTGATTTTGTTTTAGATTTCTTGTCAAGATGATGTTCACAGCACCAGATTTGGTTCGTGTTTGTATTATTTTAAATACTTCTTCCAGGAATGCTCATAATCTCATAAATCCATCTTTGCCTAGCAAAAGACTTAGGCAACAATTAATTTTGATGCGCATCTACAAAATGATGCATGTAATTTTAATCTAACTACATGTTTTCCTGAATAGATGCAAAAAAGTTATTATTAAGTATAGCTAAGGATTTGGGAATATGATCACAAGTCTGATGGAAGAGTAGTTAAATTCCAGCATTACATCTTGGTGATGCCCTTCAGAGATTCTGACCCATGATGCTATGACCAGAATTTAGCAAGATTCCTTTTGAAGTAACAGGACCCTGTGCAGAAAATCTCTTCCAGGTTCAGCTAAAGCAGGACATCAATTTCCTGCCCCTCTGCTGGACATCTCTGCTACTCCTAGTCTGCTGGTTTAACAGCCTGCGATTCACATGGACAAAATCACACAGATTAGCTCAGATTACTGGATGGAACTGCTTGTGGTAGTCCAGTGAATGATGGAGGTGCCAGCAGGCTGTTGATGCGGGCGTTTGTTGTTCATTTTTTGTCGCTGTGTGCTAGCAAGAGCAGCCATCGCTGCTGTTAATGAGATTTAAAAGGAAATACGTCAAAGTTTGTCAGTCCGGATGCTGGGCAAGGGAACACGGTTTGACTTCTTGCTTTCTTCAACTTGTGAGATGAATCTGATTGTCTTTTCTGATATTCAGCACTTTCTGACATTCTCTGCCAGTCCTACACTGTATAGAAATATACACTATTAGTTTTATGCTTCCAATGACTGTAGTGTGAGGGAACTGATTTTTGCCGGAATCTAAAACTTAGGAGTCAAAGTTCACAAGGAGGTGGACGAGCTCCTCATACTCAAGGCCACATGAGCAGCATGTGGGTTTTGTTCAGGCTTCCCTTTGTTACACAGCAGGGTTTCAGCCTTAAAAGTGTTCACATAAAGTTTTAGTCTGCTACTTTGGTGGCATTTTATTTGTTTTAAATACAATATCACCTTTACTCAAATATAACATAGTGTTTACTCGGAATTACAGCTGAATTGTTCAGGTGGAGTTTAACAGGCAAGCTTATTGTAGGTCTCCAACTAGAAATGAATTGTCACTTTCACAGGAGGAATACAGCGCAACTTCTGCGGGCAGTCACTCCTTAGAAGAAGAAAACTGTAACATTGAGAAGAAATACGAAGATCTTAAAAGGTAACTGCTTAAAAATCTGACTGCAGTTAATTCCTACAAGTGTCTGCTGTAGTGAATTACAATGCATTGATCTGTTCTGCATAAAGGCAATTAGAAAAGATGGAGATTGAAAATAAAGAACTTGCTTGTCAGCTCAAAAAGGAAGATGAGAGTCTGCAGTGCAGTCAATTGCAGCTTGAAGAGAAAATTGCAGAATATAATGGATTAACCAGACAACTGGAATCGGCTTTGGAAGAAGGGAGAAAAATGGTATTGATGATTTAATACATCTCCTCAGCCTGTTTGCCATTGTTAGTTAAAAACAGCATTAAAACCAAACGTGCTTGAGAAGAAGAGATGGGACAAGATTGTTTTACGTGAAGGGAGCAGTACTAAAAAGTGACTGGGAATTTGGGCATGTTTAAATATGGATTGCACAGTTCAGTTTCTCTGTGGGATTCGGATCCTGTTGAAATGAATGACAAAGTTCAGAGGACAGACAGTTCCCTATCATTTTATTTGAAGACAAATCAAAATGCTTCAACCACCCAATATTGAATCCCATAGAAAAGCCTCTGAACCAAACCTTATTTTTTTGTTATTTTGTTTGAAAAAGGCAGCCCACGAGAACTTCAATGGGAGGGTTTCGTTTTAGAGGAAGGCTTTGCACACTTTCAGTATTAAGCAGAAATTTGTTATCTGTAGGAAGGATGCACCCAGTAAATCAAATGGGAGAGAAATGAGATTGCAGTTATTTGTTTAATAAGAAAATAGGTATGAAATTGTGATTTCTTTCCCAGATTAATCGTGTTGAAATAAACCTGAATTTCCTCGGTACTGAGGATATTGGTTTGGGTTTGAAAAAAACAACAGCTTTGGCTTAACTTACAAATGAGTTACAAAAGTAACAGCTGCTCCCTCCTCACGTTTTTATCCAAATTGGAATTTCTTTCAGATTTCGCTAGAAAGTTTCCAAGGTTTGTTTAGTTCCTTCTGTGCATGGGAAATAACTCCCCCCTTGCAACACTGTGTGCAGTGCTGGTGTCCTCAACATGAGAAGGACGTGGAGCTGTTGGAGCAAGTCCAGAGGGGCCCACAAGGATGAGCAGGGGCTGGAGCACTTTGCATATGAAGACAGGCTGAGAACACTGGGGCTGTTCAGCCTGAAGAAGGGAAGCTGATGGAGACCTCAGAGCAGCTTCCAGTGTCAAGGATGCTGGAGAGGGACTCCTCATCAGGGACTGCAGTGATAGGACAAGGGGTGATGGGCTCAGACTGAAACAGGGGAAGTTCAGGTTGGATATAAAGGCAGAAGTTCTTCCCTGTGAGGGTGCTGAGGCGCTGGCACAAGGTGCCCAGAGAAGTGGTAAATGCCCCATCCCTGGCAGTGTTCAAGGCCAGGTTGGACGGAGTCCTGGGTGACATGGTCTAGGGTGAGGCGTCCCTTCCCACAGCAGGGCTGGAACTGAATGATCTTAAGGTCCTTTCCAACCCAAACTATTCTACAATTCTATTAGCTGACAGGACAGGCAGTGGAGCTGTTAATGCTGAGGTATAAGAACATACTTTGCTTTGGGTTTGAAGTGAAAGTAAATGTACCTCATTTCTCTCTCATTACCCTTACAGGTGGCTGAAGAACTGGAAAAGATGTCATGCAGAGAACAAGCCCTTCAGACAAAGATGCTGTTTCTTGAGGCTGAAGTGAGAGAGGGGCAAGAAAGGAAAAACCAACTCCACTGCATATTTCACCACGTGAGTAAATAACACTGCTTATGACTTCAGGAATTACTACATCAGCACTTACAATCGGAGTTCCTTTTACTGAAACACACGCTGCTGCTGAAATTGATACACGCTTTTGGGAACAGCAAATGAATTCCATTTGACAATAGACTTTGTGTATTGACATTTCTAATAGACTTAAAAGACGGCCAGTCTAACTAAATCGCTCGAGCAATATTGAGTTTACAGCTCTTATTCAATCCAGTTTTCCCAGCAAGGCAAAAATCAAAGAATATGTATGAAGCTGTAATTTCCTTCTCATGCTGAGTGAACACACCTGGATTTTAGTAAATGCATGACGGTTCCATAATGACATAGTGGCATCTTTTTAGTTGTTCCTGATTTGATGACAAGATTCAGATCTCACTGGAATTTGTGAGCAGCTTTCATCTTCTGTACTGATGTTGCACAGAAACAGAGTTGGTAACAAAAGAGATGTTCTCATTTTTCAAAGCATCAGGCCTTTAAATGCCCGGGATTCTGTTGTTCCTTACCTCTTCAGCAAAGCCACAGTCTGAGAAGGATTTGGGGTGAGCAATGTTCTCTGCAGATAAACAAAGGAATCTGTTCCGTTGTTTTATCTAAGCCAGAAAATTTCAGCACATTTTCTATTAATAAAATACCACACACAGCTGAATTCTCCAGACCAGTGCTGGCAAATCCTGGGCTTTGACTCAGTCAGAGGTTTGTCCTGTGATCAGTAATAATAAGCTACAAAGACATCTGAAGTTAATAGAGAAGACACTGGAAAGGTTTCCTATCACTCTCCTAGACTTCCAAAACCAGTGTTGTGTATTCTGACTCGCAGCATTCAAGGTTAGAATTTGCATTTGGTTGGCTTGAATTTATTCAAGATTGAATAAGACCTCAGAGACGTGGTTCTGAATTCAGCGTGCTTTCATCAGTTTTGATCTGTATCAAGTGCAACTTCACGTCTGCTTTTACCCTAAGACAAAAGTGTTCTTAAAACAAGATCAGACATTGGCTGGTGGCTTATTCTATTACAGTTTTGCATAGGAAATTCTTGCTGTGTTGAAGTAAAACAGAAAAGAAACTGTCTTGTATTTGGTCCCAGAAAAACTCCCAGGATGTTTTCAAGTGGTTTCCATTTGAAGTTCACAGGTAAAATATAAACGTTTGAGAGAGCTGCTCTGAATTAATTAAACGCTATCTGTTCCAATGACATTTACACGTAACTGAGGATGCCTTCTGGAAAACGAGGAAACGGTTTTATTCCTGTTGTTGTAGTGAAACTGGGAAAAACAGGGCTGTGAGGGTAACTTCATTCAGTTCCTGACCAGCTAAGGCTGGACCGAAATCTGAGGCTGTAATTCCAGTTTTTTAGAATGAATTTATTTTAACCGATCAGCACCTGGAATCTGTAATAGACAAAGCAGTAAATACCTGGGTATCTGCAGCATGTACATAGCATATACATAACATATAACCTATGACGTGCACCAGGGGTGGAACTGGTGAGCAGGTAGGATTGCTATCAGCCATCTTTTTTATATAAGGAACTACAGGCATCACAAACCACATCGAATAGCAATAGCAGATGTTTATTGACAAATCAAGATGAGAGAGAGTGTTGAGCCCAGGACAGATTTAAGCTGCCACAAATCTCTCATGGGAAGAATTCGGGCAATGAGCTCTTCCATTCCCAGGCCTTATCCTGATTATCAGCTCAACCAAACACAATCACTTCGGTCCTGACTGAACATAAACAAAGCCTTGACATTTTGTGGCCTTTTTGGAACCCTTCAGTTTTGTGGAGCCTCTGAAACCTGTCCCAGGTAAATGACACTTCCAACAATCAGGTACCAGCCGCCTTACCCGATTCCTGATTGATTTGTGGTTTACTTCTAAGCTCATTGCATTTCTCTTTGTGTTTTCCTCTAGAACAAAAAGCAGCATGAAGTACATTTGAAGGAGCTGGAGAACAGCCTGCAGAAGTCGGAGAACAAGAGCCGGAGCATGCAGAATTACGTGCAGTTCCTGAGAGCTTCCTACGCCATCATGTTTGGCTGAATTCTGGATTGGATTCCCAAGGTTTGGCTCTCGGCCTTGCTGCGGGCAGGGCAGACTGCAGGACAGCAGCGATAGGTGTATAAGTGCAGGCTGTGCACACAGGGCTGTGCAGAGCTCTGTGCATTCACTGTGTGTTAGGTCCTGTGCTCTAAAACCTTACGCGTATCCTTTAGCCCACGGTAAATACAGGGGAGCACAGATTGCCCTTCAGTTCATGCTGGGGAAAAGAACAGCCATGGGTGGGTTACACAGGACTTTGCCTGTTTTAGTTGTTAATAATTAGATGATATTCATCAGACCTCACACTTCTGTGACTGTAGAAATCTGGTTGCCCAAGACAATGACACCTGTCCTGTTAAGAGAGACAAGGATTTAAGGAGCCTTCGGTTCCCTTCCTTTCTTTTACTGTAGTTCCGCACCAGTGCAGCACGCACGGCTGCTCTGCAGGAGATGGAAGCCATCACAAGGCTGTCCCATCCAGCCTTTTTCCCACACATCCCATTATGGTCTGGAGTGCACCGGAGTGATATTCTACAAATAGAAGTTGGAAAGTATTTCAGATACAGATGGAGTTTGAGCTCTGAATGTGCTAATGGAGCCCTTCACGGGCACAGCTGCAGTCAGGTATGGAAGTGTTTGTGTACAAGAGCTGCTGTCACTGAAGTCAGACTGACTTAACTCTCAGGTTGCACCCATGTAACTGTTCAGCCGACACAGGGCTAATACAAAACCCAGTTCTCATTGAGAAAGTCATTGATTTATAGGCACATGGTGGGAGACGTTTGTCAAAAAGTAGTACTTTCAGTTCAAAATAAGCCATTTAGAATGTGTATTTATCTGGGTTTTGACTGGAAATGTAAGTTAGTTCACGCACAGACACTTCCTGTTCGTTAAATGTAGCATTTCATTGGTAGTTATAATGTGTCGGATGTTGATGTGTTTTTCTTTCTTTGCAATACTTACCCATCCTGACAAATACTGATCTGTGTTAATGAGCTGCTTTGCGGGCACTTTGAAAGATAAAAGTGTTTCATACCTATGACACACAGTAGAAAATATTTCTGTTGAATTTGGGGGCTTTTGCATTTCACACACGCACAGAACCATGTTTGTGTTTATTTAGCTCTGTTTGTGCTCCTGTGAAAATAGCAAAACCTTTCTGAAGTCATCAGATATGAAGAAAAGAGTCCAGACACCAAGTGCTGAATCCATGAAATGTTCCTAAAAGCTCATCGTGGACAACTCAATGCTTTCCATTGATGACCGATACAAAGACGTGCAGTCCCTGCACTGCTGCGGGCAGGAACCTGGCTCACGATAAAAGTCATCCCCTCACACATGAGCGCCTTGCCCACAGAGACCCTGGCTCACGGGACGTGTCGTTCCCCCAGAGAACACTCACCTTGCTCTGCCCTATTCCATGTGCCTGGAATGGTGCGATGTTCCCTCAGCGCCTCCCTGCTCACAGCCCCCCTCCATTGCGCTGAGCACAGCGGCAGGCACCGCTGCGCTGCCCTGCCCTTCCTCCGCTAGGGGGCGCCACCGCTGCCCTGCCCTTCCTCCGCTAGGGGGCGCCATCATTGCCCTGCCCTTCCTCCGCTAGGGGGCGCCATCATTGCCCTGCCCTTCCTCCGCTAGGGGGCGCCATCCTCCTCCTGCCCTTCCTCTGCGAGGGGCCGGAACCCCCGTCCCGCCCTTCGGGTGCCGGCACTGCTGGGGCCGGGGATCAGCTCCGGGTCTCTTGGGGCAGGGGCGCGCTGCCGGGAGCTGCTGAGCCGGGTCCGGTCCCTGCACAGGTACGGACACAAGGACGGGCGGAGGAGCCGCAGCCGCGACGGGAGCTGCGTGGAATCCAGCAGCAGCCGCTCTGCCTGTGCTGGGGATGACGTGGGCACGGCCAGAGCTTGGGGATTTGGCCCGTTTTGCTTCGGGGTTGGGTTTGGGGTTTGTTTTGCTGTGCTTGCTGTTGCTTGTTTGACTCGGGTTCAGGCTGCGTTTGTATTGGGTCAGGTCCCCATCTCGTTCAGGCCCAGCTCCTGTTCATTTGCAGCTCCGGCCGGTTCCTGCTCTGGATTCAGCTCCAGCTCACAGACAGCTCTGACCAGTCTGAGCTCCACCACTGCCAGGAGCTCACTGGGCCACGTCTGTCCCTGCACAGGGGAGCCCCACATGCAGGGTGTGGGGTGTGAAGCCCCAAGAAGCAGCTCTGACACAGCTCCCGGTTGGGGGCTTGGGCCCCCCTTCCTTGGTGTGCGTGGGGGTATTCTGAGGTTCCCTTTGGTTTGGGTTTGCTGGTTTGATTTTGGGTTGGTTTGGTTTATTTTGGGGTTTGGATTTGGTTGGTTTTGGTGTTGGTTCAGCCACAGCTCCTGGACATCTCCAGTTTGGTTCTGGCTCTGGGTTCAGCTCCTGGCTGTTGTGGCTGCAGCTCATTCGCAGCTCCAGGGCAGCGGTTTCTGTCCCCACGACAGCTCCAGCTCATTCATGGCTCGGGCCCCATTGCAGCCTCAGGTCTGTTTCTGCCCTCCTGTTTTTCAGGCCCAGCTCCTGGATGGCTGTAGTTCCATCGTGGCTGCAGCTCGTGTCCATCTCCAGCCCCAGGCAGTTACAGCTTGCGCTTGCTGAACTGAGCCTGGCTTGTGGCCATGTCCTAAACCAATCCCTGTCACGATGCAGATGAACAGGAGCTGTCAGAACTGCTCATGCCCAGCCCTGGAGCAACAAAGAGTAAACAAAGAGTTGGCCCCAAGCACAGTGCGAAAAGCTCCTTTCGCCCTAGAGACCGTCTCATGCGTTCAGTTCAGTTCCGTTTCAAGCCCCCCCAAACGCAGCTTTGGGCTCTCCCCGGGAGCCCCAAAACGGGCTGAGGGACCCTGGTGCCGAGCACCCACAATGCAGCACTTGGTCTCAGTTTCCGAGCCCTAGGATGGGCCACATCATCCTTTCCCCAGGCTCCAAAACCCAGCACTTGGTCTCCATTTCTCAGCCTTAAGAGCAGCCCCAGGAGCCTGTTTTTCAACCCCCCAGACCACAGCATTCAGGCTGTGTGCCCCAAAATGCAGTGGACTTAGTCTCTGTTGCTCAGATAAAACACTGACCCCCTGAGCCCAGTTCTGAGGCCCCCAGTGCAGCACTTGGTCTCTGTTCATGAGCCTCACACCTGGCCCCCAAAATGCAGGACTTTGTTTCTGAGCCCTAAATCTGGCCAAATGAGCTGGGTTTGAACCCTCCAAACACAGCACTTAGTGGTTTTTTTGTGTGAGCCCTAAAACTGTCTGAGTGACCCAGGGTTCACACTCCAGAAACACAGCACTTGGTCTGTTTCTGAGCCCTGAACCTGGCCCACAAATCACAGGATTTAGTCTCTCTCAGCCCTAAATCTGGCCATATGAGCCCTCATAATGCAGTACTTAGTGGGGTTTTTTTTCTGTGTTAGAGCTGGCCAAGGAGTCTGGGGCCAAGCTCCCCAAACTCAGGACCTGTTCTCTTTCTGTGAGACCCAAAACTGGCGAAGGGAGTGTGGTTTGGAGCCACCCAAAGTGTAGGACTCAGTTTCTGGTGCTGAGCAGTAAAAGGCAGGACTTGGTCTGTATTCCTGAGGCACAACATCAGCACCAGCTTTCGGTCTGGGCACCTGAGGCTTAGCACCACGCTCTGGACCTTCACACTTCAGGAGCTGATTCCTGGGACACCTGATGGTGCTCTCCAGAGAGGCTTTACCCAGAAGCAGGCTTAGGGACTGGTCCTGGGGCTGTGGGAGCAGTCAGGCCCCAGCTGGCTCCTCGCTGCCATGGGAAACATTGCCCTGTGCCCACCATCCCCAAGGAGCAGGTGTGGGCTGGGTCCCAGCCCCGGGACACTCCAGGACCCCTGATCCCCTGTGAGCCATCTCTACAGTGTTAATTCTGCATCTGTGGGGCTGGGTTTATGTTTCATGTGCCTGAAAAGGGTTGGCCCCAAGTGGCAAAAAAGGGCATAATCGGCATGTCCCAATCCGGACTTTCCTAAACGTCTCGTTCACCTCCACCCTGTTTGAATCCAGGTTTCACCCAGATTTGAAGGAAAAAGGCACATGACATTTGTTAAATCTTCTCTTTGCTAACAATGAAAAGCACCAGTTTGAGCAGCTCAGTGAGGTCTGGCAGGAGGGGCAGAAGCAGCTCTCCCCCTGAACCCCCCCATCTTCCATTCAGCCTGTGCTTCCCTCTGCCAGGTTCTCCCTGTCCACTTCTCAAGCACTGCTGGAAACAAGGCCCCAGCTGACAATCCAACAGGCAGCAAATAAGTGCTTCTTGTACCCATTGTTTGCCCGGTGGGGTTAAAGCCTGCAGAAAAAGCCTTCTCCCTTCTCCTGACAAAGTTCTCCTTCAGCCTCAGAACACTGAGGAGCAGCTGAGAATTGGGAGACTTTCACACTGAACATTAAGCTTCTTACCAGAGCTTTTTCCCTTGCTCTGGTTCAAACAGAAAACAGATTCCTCTTGCTGCTGTTAACTCGTAGAGGAATGGACTGAGCACCTCAGGGAAGGGACTGAAGTTTTCTAGGAGCACTGGAAATGGGTTATCACTGCACGTGTCCAGTTGAGCTGTCAAAGTCCTCCAAGTCATGCTGAAGTACAAGCTATGTTTGGAGCCGTGATAACCTGCTATCAGTCCAGCGGCAAGGAAAAGAAAGGCAGGGGTGGGAATAGCTGGAATACAGCCGTGTTTGTACCTGGGGCTATTTTGGGCTTCACGTGCTCTCAGTTCTTTTGAGAGTGCGCTCGGGGGACAGTGATGGACACAAGAGTCGGAACAGGTCCCAGCGGAGGGGCTGCTCCTCTGTACCGAGTGTCTCAGCTGGGTCACTACGCTGTGTACCAGCCTCAGGGACAAGAATACACATGGTGTACACAGGGATTACTACTGCCCCTCAGAGCCACCTTCCATCCCACCAGCAGGATGCACCCCAGCGCTTCAGAGGCGACACCCTGAGCACGAGGAGATTTCTGTTAACACTGAAGCAGTGACCTCAAACAGCCTTTCCACGTTCCCTGCTCACGACTGTTGTAAATACAACGGTTCCAATAAAACAAAACCCTACTTTAAATGTTTTAATGACCTGGTTGGCATTTGTGGGTTAAAACAAGGAAAGAATGTCCATGTGCAGATTTGACCTTGGCCTTTAATTCCCTCCTAAGCTCCAAAACAATGTGCTAGCAGCTCCTGGCTTTCCAGAAGTCCTGTTGCAATACGTGAGACCGCAGCTGAGTTTTAAGAAGCCTCTCACACACATGCCTTTCTTTTTAACCACTGCCTTCCCAAATCCATCTGCTCATCACCTCCTCTGGAGATACTTCATTATCTGTCAGTGTTCTGCAGAGTCTGTCACACTGGCAACTTCTGGCACAGCAGGTTTTAGAGCTGTTGCTTTTATGCCAATACATTCCTGCAGTAGAACACCACAATGAAGTAACTAAATAAAGGCTTATTCACAGAACTCACCTTGTCATGAGTCACCCCAATTAAAATTAGTCAAATGGGGCTTAGCATCTGCTTGCACTCAACAGCTCGGTCTAAGGAAATGGTCTATTTGGTTACATACATCTCTTCAGTTGCCTCTGTGGAGTGACTTTTTCCAGAGCAGCATTTCCCAAACTTTCTATTATCAAGATTAAAAAAAACAGCTTTGATTTGTGCCAAACTCTAAAGCTATTTTAAAGCAGAAAACTGGCTCAGTCATGGAGGTGGAGTTCCCCATTTCTACCCAAGTAAACCAGTCTCAGCAGTCTGAGTTTTGTCTGGACAGCACTGACCTGGTTTTTCCAGTTCTGTTCTATTTTTGGTGTTCTATTTGGCACCATGTGTGGATGCCATTTGTTTCCCAGAACGAGGGAAGGGCAGGTAAGAAGGATGTTAGTTTGTGGACAAGCAGAGTGGGGAATGGGCTTGGGCACTACAGCATCAGAGCTCCTTCCGCCAGGAAAAGCAATTTCTTTTCCCTTTCTTTTTGTCTTTTGTTTCAAGATGAAACCAGTTTCATTTGATGCCTGAACAGACGTGATGGAATGGGTTTGACAAACAGATTCTAGGAACCTGTAACATGCACGGCCATCCTGACCTTCCAAGTGAAGTTTAGGGCATCATTAATACAGGTCTGTCTGTATCCAGAGCACAACCAAAAGCCTGGAACCCCAACATGGGAAGGGAAAACCAACCAACCTCCTCCCAGAAGAGCTGCCCATCACTGATTCATGAAACTAAGAAACCTTTTTCCATGCTCATGAAAAAGACCGGCATAAACCAACTGCTATCTACACCTAGTAAGGCAGCAAAGACATTATATATTGACATAGGTGTTCTGAACAGCAGTTTTATAAGCAGAAATTTGAGCTTCCACATTATAGATTTTCTTCTTGGGAGATAAAAGTTGCCCTTTATTTTTTCTATAAAAGAAAGGTAACTTTTCCCCCTATTGTTTCTCGCAGTTGGACTGCAGGTGCTCATTAGCATGGCTGTTTCTATGGACAAGCCACAGTATCTATGACAACTATATATACACTTTAAGAATGAATTTTTCACTCCTACCTTGATGACAGACCAATCTCAATGGGTTTTTCACATTTCTAGACCACTTCAGAACACCAAGGATTAGGTGATGCACTGGTATCTGTCGAGTGTGCCGAAAGCTGCATCCAATGGAACAATCACTAAATTGGTTCTCTCTCTCCACTCCTAATCCACAGGGTATTTCTTCTTTCTACATTTAAGAAACATAAAGACTGAATTCCCTGTTCTGCAGAAACATAAGTCACTTGTCAGCACTAGATAGGATTGAATGAAAAAGCCTGTCATGTAAGTAGCACTCCATGCTGCAGTTTCTCTTCCCTAGTCGTTCTCATCTTCTAGTACACAGTACAGAGCTAATGAAGCAGCAGTATATCCAGAATTTTCTTACAGTACAAATCACTTTGGAATAGTGCTAAAGTAATTTTGTATTTGGGATGTCCAGCCACGTGCATCTACTCCACTACTGGTGCCACACCCGGGCAAGAAACTTCCCTGCAGCAATGCAGATTGGCTAGGATGCCAGCTTTTTCCCAAAAGAATTCAAACACTGCACCAAGGCCCCTCAACACCCTTGAAAGATGGTGAATTGATCCTTGAGAGAGAGCTGGAATTTGTTGCTCCGTGGCTTCAGTTCTACTGTTCCAGGAACTGGTGTTTTCACTCTATATAAGGAAGAATTAAAGTGCTGAGGCACACAAACTGAGCATTTGGAATGACCTGCGTACCAGAGAGCCCAGAGTTAACAGCTCATCGGCGCATTCAGGTGTATCTTGTTTTCACTCTTACACTACCAAGTTTCAAGAATCCTGACAGCTTGTATGTCTACCTCTACAACAGAGGAAAACCATTAAAAATCACAAATACAATAAAGGTGGAGAGTGATTATCCTATTTTCCTCGAGTTAGTAAGACTAAAGAACACTCAAAAGAATCACCACATTCTGATATATTTAAGCCTTATTCAGGCCCACTGTCGTGGTTTAAGCCCAGCTGGTAACTCAGAACCACACAGCCACTCACTCAGTCTCCCCCTTCTTCCCCCCTGCTTCCAGAGGGATGGGGAGGGGAACTGAAAGAATGTAAACCCCATGGTTTGAGATAAGGTACAATATAAAATCACTACTGCTACCACCAATAATAATAATGATGAATGGAATAACAAGGGAAGAGAATACAACTGCTAACAACCTGCCGACTGATGCCCAGCTCGACCCGAGCAATGATCTAGCCCTTTCAGGTAACTGCCCCCAGTTTATATAGTGGGCATGACATGCTGTAGTATGGAATACCCCTTTGGCTAGTTTGGATCAGGTGTCCTGCCTCTGCTTCCTCCTGGCTTCCCGTGCCCCTCCTCACTGGGAGAGCATGAGACTGAGAAGTTCTTGATCAGAGTAAGCATTACTTAACAACAACTAAAACATCAGTTTGTTATCAGGACTGTTCTCAAGCTAAAGGCAAACCACAGCACTGCACCAGCTACTAGGATAGAGTAAAATTACTGTGACAGCTGAACCCAGTTAAATTCTTTAAGATGTGTTACATAAATACATTATTTTCTAATGTATAATAAATAATAAAATTGTAAGTATCAATGATGAAAATATAATTTTACATTTATTCCATAAGAATATATTAGAAGGAATCTAAGCAAGTAAAAATGAACTGCAAGTGATACCATTCTAACCAGTCCCTAGGCTCTTCACTGACTGCACCATCACAAAAAACAATAACTAAGATCCAAGGATTGTACACCAGGTAATTAAGAAATACTATTAAAAAATTACTTATGTAACGTGAGAAAAGGGGTTCAATACAAAGACTGTATTTATCTCACAGCTCATCTGTTCATAGAGCTACACAGAATTAACACTGTATGTAGAATTAACGCTGTACCCCTTGAAGGAGTGATTTATCATGACAGCTTGTGTTCCCTTAACTCCTCGAGACACTACCTTTGGGAATTACTCCTACTTACCCAAATACATTTGAGAGAGCAGAACATGTATTAGTCCAGCAACAGCCATAAACAGGATAATTGGAAGAGGTTCTTAACAACAGTCTCCCTGCTGGCAGCTCAACAAATAAAGAGGAAAATTCTCCAGTGCCCTGATAGTCACATGGAGATTATAGCCCCCACTGAAGAAAGGACAGAGATGCAGAAACATCTACAACATGAAGCATATTAAGAAAATAAATAATAAAACAGCAAGCTACTAAATGAAACCCTCCCTAAAGGAGTTCTTTTCAGTATCCTCAGGCCCTGTGCATTTTCCCCACCAGTTCAGAGTGCCTTCCCTTGCTGCACTACGAATCCAGAGCTCTCCTGTTTCTCATGCAGCAGCTCCATCTGCTGTCAAGAAGGAAAGGCAGACTTCGCTTTCGGGCTACATTTACAGGATAAAACAGGAAACTGACTTGACTAATTTGAAGTATCCCTAGAAAGTTTCCAAACGCTCCCCCAGTCAGTCTTCCTGCATAGACAGAACCAGCAGCCAGGCTTCACCTGCCTGTGTAAACCAACTAACCAAAACGGGTATGAGAGGAAATAACAATGATGTGAATGTTGGGATTTTTCACTTGTACACCTTCAGAACTAGTCTTCTCACAGCACTCTCTGATTCTTCATTATCTGCAGTCATTTAGTGTTGTGCTGCTCAAAGGTACCATGTTAGCAAACCAGGTAAGGTACTGACAATCACTTCACCCTACAGTAAATGTGCCCAGGTATTCACAACCTGTAAGATACTTATAGTGAGTCTTAGTTACTTAAAGTGGTTTATTTCAATTGCATAAACATAAAACTATTCTGAAGATCAGCTCAGTTGCTAAGAATGAAAGTCCTGTTTCTTTTATGCAGTGCAAGGCCTTGAGAACTCAAAGTTTCCACACTTTGCATTCCTTAACCAGGAGCACTATGAAGAGTTCTGTTCATAACGGAACAGTCGTGGTAAGCTCATGGGGACCTAGAGCTTGTAAATACAACCAGGCCTGCTCTGAACCTTGCCTCATACTCTTGTCTTCTGGGTTTCTAATATGCCTGCTCTTGATTTAAAAGAAACAAAGACTTGTTTCAGACCATAATTACAGCTTTTAAGGAAAAAATCTTGTTTCACTGAATCCACTGGGGGTTTTACTGTGATTTTAGAACAGATACAGTTCCGTTATTGCTCTCTTTAATGGATTTAGGAATAGGCATTCACAGTACTCAGAATAATGACCCCAGTAATACTGTAATGTTTTCACCCACATTGAAAATATTGTCACGTAATAGAATGTTATTTCTCTGATTTTCCTTTTTATTCTTTCCAAGTGTTTTTTAGTGTCTCCAAACTATTCGCAGTCACTAATTTCAGGTGGGATTCCCACATCTTATTTCTCTACGCGTTGACTCATATAAGTTGTTGCAGTGTCTAGCAGAGATTGCATAGACACAGTTTTACCAGTCACCTATGGCATGTCTTCCAGATTCCCAAACAGTATTTTTTGAGTTGATGGCACTGGAAAGCCAGCAAAACACTGCAGTGCATGGAATGCCCTGTAAATATCACATCTTTCTAGGCTCCTTTAATTCAGACGCTGTTGCTTAACACACATACACACCCCTCTTTAGACTATCCCTAAAAACCTACAGTGCTGGAAATCACCAATGTTACAATAATTGGGTTTCAAATAACTTTGGAACTGAAGCAGTGTTGTTTCCGTATCTCTGATGCTGTGAGTGAAAGGTGGGTTTTTTTGCCTGGAAAGTTCTCGTTTACTCCAGGAATGGAATGCTGTTAAAAGCACATTATAAATAACTGCAGTATGAGAAATGTTCCTGTTTGTTAAGGCAAAATTATTTTATCTAATCCAGCAACGTTGTCACATTCATCTCTGTAACTAGACTCAATCCTGTGGAGGAATTAAATCTTGCATAGAGGAATAAATCCTTATGCGAATTCATGATGTTTGAAGGAACAGTTCCCTATATAATGCAATTGTGGAATATAATTATATATATCGAAAATGCCAAAGTGAGACGACAACAAGTATTTTGTATTGATTTACCGATGAACGTAAACCAGAAAGTCTCTCACAAGAAATAAGGACGCATCCCTGTGGTGAGCACCTACCAGCAAGCTGTGACACCACACCCCCCCCCGCCGGGTGCAGCACTCACAGCGGCACGCAGAGGCTGCATCCAGACGTGGTTTATAAGCCTCATCCTATTCATACTGTTAAAAAAGAACCCGAAATAAAGGAATAAATAAAAGGAATAAAGAGAAACCGTTCCCCTCTCCGGAGTCAAACATGGCTCCCCTCAGCGAAGGTCCGGCCGCGCGCAGGCTCTCTGGGCGGTGCGCAAAAACTCCAACAGGTGGCTCCGTGGCGCAATGGATAGCGCATTGGACTTCTAGAGGGTTGAAGGGATTCAAAGGTTCCGGGTTCGAGTCCCGGCGGAGTCGTGTCTTCTCTTTTACGTTTTCTTCGTTCCCCCCCCCCTTTCTGCTGGGACCCTTTTACCCCTCACATCCCGTCTCTTACCTCACCGCCGGAGCAATCCTGTCCACCGGCCTGGCGCTTCCCGGCGGCTGCCTCCCTCTCTCCAGCGATGCTCTTCGGTCCCGCCTCCCGGCGTGTCTGTCACAGAGCGGGCGGAGGAAACGAACCCGCCGCCTGCGCTCCGATCTCCGCGCGGCCCGGCGACGTCACAAGGCGCTCCGCCGGCAGCGAGACGGGCGGAGGGGCCGAGGGCGGGCGGGAGAAGCGGTCTCCTCATCCCCTGATGGCGGTCGTACACACACCAGAAGCACGCCACGGCGACAGCCCCGAACCGGTACCTCCGAACCGCGCCGCCGGGTCTCCGGCACGGCCTTCAGGGAGGAACTGCGCTGTGCCTTTCCCGAGGTGCCGCAGTGAAGGTCCGTGATACGTTTATGGTTATTTTTTTCAAGCCACAAAACAAGGCGTAGATAAACCTGAAGCATTTAACACTGGAATGAACACCATCTTTACTCCCTAACTTACACGTGCCTAGTGGTAGAAGATGAAGAGCCGTTTTAGCATCAGCAATTAAATCAAACAGTGGTAAGACACCGAAGAGTAGCAGCACTGCACGAGCCTCCTTGATTTTACTCACGATTGAATCAATTATAAATGAATCTGAATGAAATCATTCATGAATAAAAAAATGAATCGGTTTGGGTTTTGTTTCTTTTGTTTTGCTTTGTTTTTAATAAATTGATTTTCAACCTGTATTTGTGACTAAAGGTGTTTTCTCAAGCTGTCATAATGTTTATTTAAAAGCAATGAAGGAAAAAGCCATAACTGAAACGGACCCGTAACAGAAATTTCAATCCATGATTGAAAATGAAACACGCCATCTGGAATATTAACTACCACTGTTTTGCAGCACAGTAACCCACTGAAAAAAATGCTATTTAGCCATATAATGGATATATAGCCCTTTACAGAAACATCAATCTTTATCCTAATTTGCAGATAAATAGCAAACCCACAACCTATCTACACTAACCCCCCAAAAAGCAAGATAAAACGTACCTCCTCATTCAGTCACTTTCCACAATGTACTGCAGTCCAAATTCTCCTTCTACTTTTTGTATTTAAGGCTTGCTTCATACAGTTTGCTTAGTTCCTAGTTAATTAAACATTTGAAGGCAGAATTTTTTACATACACATTTGCATGTTGCAAGCAGTATTTATGCAATCAATACTCTAGGAACGCATTAGTTCATTAAGGGCTTGTAGTAATAATAATGATTGTATCCAAGAGAAAACTGCAGGATCAAGGAGCAGTCCGTTTCCTAGAGGTAAGCACAGGGGCAGCATCCTGAAATGATGCCCGTATAACAGATTCTAATGTGAACTCCATCCTTCAAGACCTGATTGTACAAAGTCCTGAGCAGCCTGGTCTCACCCTGCCTTGAGCAGCAGACTGGGCACGACAAGCTCTCGTTGCCCCTTTCAGCCTGTGTTATGTCAGGATCCCAAGTCTCAGCAGCGCTTACCTAGGAAGGCGCTGTGATAAAGACAGGACTTGTTAAAAAAAAAGAGATCAGAAAGTTTTATCACATGGAAACAGTAATGATAAGAAGACACCTTCAATTTCGAGGAGACCGAGTTGATGGCAGAGAGAAAAGATCCTCAAAGGAAAAATGAAAGTACAACAGGGAAAAGTGAGAAGCATTTTACTTCTGTTCCTAAACTATCCATGCCTACTAGGGGCAGCACACCAGCAACACTTCAGCCACTGTCATCCTATTTTTCATTAGTCTTTTGGATGTGACACCTAGGAGATGGACTGTGAACTCACTGGGCTGTACAACCATTGGATACTCTCTGCCCCAAAGGCAAGAAAAAAGGAATATTGTCAAAACCAAGGGAAGCAGAAAGGAATTATTACCATCCATACAAAACATTCCAGTGACATCCAAAACAGCAGTAGGTGTTTCTATATAAAACCCAGCATGCTACATATGGCCCTTTAATCTTAGGGAAATTTCTTGTTAATAATGATTTATGTCAATAAAGGCAGCATTACAAATTAACACAAGTATTTGTGACAACCATTAAAAGAAAATATTCCTTGCAACTGACAGGCAAAGTTTCTTAAATGATGCTAGTATTTCACAAACCATTTGTTGATGTATTTGAGTATTTTCAGAGAAATCTAACTAGCTTAAGCAACAAATACTGAGTTGTTACTTGCTGCTTAACACCAAAGCTTGTATTTCTCTTTTAAGGTCTTTCAGAGTTGTAGATTGCTTTCCCCAAGTTGCACTTGAATATCCAGGATGCAACAGGATGACAACTACTGTGGTGCCTTGTTTTCTTTCCTCAACATCCAGTATTAATCTTTCTGTGCTTCCATGTCTCATCCACAGAACAAGACACCAGAGTTGTTTTATTGGCTTTTGATCATTTACAGAGAATCGAGATACTAGCATACATGTCACTGCACTAAAATAGCAGCTCCATGTTAGCTGAAACTTGCAGATAGGTGGTCCTGCTTGCATGTGTTTGATACTTCTCAAGTAATTCGCTCTGCACACCGTTCATCTCCAGGCAGTCAAGACTTCTTAAGGAATCCAGAATCCCATCTGGCAGCAAAACATTATAATCAATTTCAGAAGAATATAAAAACCCCTAATGATCAGAGGAAAATTTCCTTCAAGATTCAGTTGGTGATCAGTGCATACCATGAAGCTCGTTTCATTTGAGCTACTTCCAGCACAAATAGCTAATCCTTAAAAAAACAAACACTTCGCAGGAGTAGAAAATGTCATAGTCAAACACTGCTCAAAAGCATACCTCTCACTTAAGATCTGCAACCTGTAAGGTTCCATGTTTGTACGATAAGAAAACATTCAACATCACTGGTCCTCCAGTAATCACTTCTAATAATCTCACACAGTGCACCCGAGGCAATGCAGTGACAGTTTTATTTCTTCTATTATGCATCTTTTCTGCTATCTAAGGGCAGTAACTGAGTTACACTAATTGTAACAGCAATATAATAACCAGGTCATTGAAAACCAACCAAATGCCACAAGAGGTCTAACAATCACAAAGGTTATGAACTGTCACTAAAGGGGAAATGAGCTATCTCTGATTCTGTAAAGGTAGCAGAAGCCTTCAAGCTCACTCTGTTCATTTACTCCAAGTCAGCTACCAGACCACAACCTGCACAGTACAGCCTAGACAATGGATCCTGCTGCCAAGTTATCTTCTGAAAAATCATTAGACAATAATTAAATGGCCCAAACTTATAAAAGCAAAATATGACAATGTCAAAATTGTATATATTACATATTTATGTTGTTTTATTCATTTAAAAATATGTAATTTATATATTCTTTATTACTTGTCTATATTTATTTATAAATTATGTATGTCTACGTATCTGAAAGCAAGCATACGTGTATATGCTGATTGCAGGACACTCTCAATTCTATTATGGTCAGTGTTAAAATAAACCCTTTGCAACTAAACTACTTCTCAATATTTCCTATTACAGAATTGGCCAGCAGCAGCTCTGACAAGACATGGAAAAATCTGTTCCGGTATGTAACGGGTCCCAAGGTGAATTATGAACATGATTTTAAACCGAATACACCAATTCACTGATGTAAAGACTGAAGGCTGAAAAGACCACAATCCATGCAGTTGGGTTTTGTGCTCAGATTTAACCATATGCTTTCATATCATTATCTTTTTTATAAAAAGATTAATTTCAATTAAAAAATTTAGATTTTTAAATAAAGTAATTTCAAATTTAGATACCTGGTAAGTGGATAGAGCTCCCTACAAAACATTCTTACTGCAAGAAATCCCTTAACCCTCAATGTGCACATGACCTTCAATCTTCAAAAAGAAGAACCACCACAAGCAAAGCATTCTGTAAAAAGTTTTATACCAACAAGTTGTTCCACCTTTGTTATTTTTCTTCGTCTTAATTGTGAAATTTCTTCTTTTTCCGATTCCTCTTCCCTGCTGCAAAAGCTGCTTTTTCACTCATGATCTCCTGATACTTCTTTTTATTATATCTGAACAAAATAGATAATTCACTTTTAAGCACGGTGAAACAAAGTTCAAGAAAAAATAACATGGAAAATACTCTACATACATCATTTGCCAAACTCGGTTCTCTCATGTTTTCCAAGCCAGATTTCTTTAATTTTATACACTTCTGCACAAGTAAAAGGGAATCAACGTTTGGATTAATAAATATGGGTAAATGTGTTGTGGAAGTAAATTTGATTAAAGGATCGTTAATTTTGCGATAACCAGGGAGTTGTTCATTGCACGTACAAGAACATTTCGGAGAGTTACCCAAAACACTGCTACTGCTCATCAATTCTGAGAATACCATGGATAAATTATACCCACCTTTATACTGCCTTCTTGGCAAACTCAAGTTAATCAACTTTACTCAACTGAAAACAAACACTAAACAATGAACAGGATATATTTACTGAATATGTGTTCCTAGCTCCTCTAATACAGCTTCTTATGTACCTGTACCAATTACCACAATGGATCACTGCGCAGTACTTAGGCTTTGAACCACAACACTGAAACCTGACTAATACCTGTACTAATGCTGACATATTTGGTTAAATCCTCTAATGAGCCACACCATAAATTAACTGATCGAATTTCAAAGACATCAATTGTTTAAAATAGTTTCTAACAAATGTCTTATAAATCAGGTCAAGCTAGCTAGGTCAACTAGGTAAGAAATAGCTATACAAACTTACCTTCCTAACATAGTTAATTTACAAGCCTGACAACATTAACCTTACAATCCCAAATCAGGCACTGCTTCCAAGACACATGTTCTTATGTGAGAAAAAAAATGCATGTTAATATCATGTAATAACCAACGTAAAAATGTATAAACTAAGGGATATACTCCAGAAATTGTAGGTTAGGAAGACATTAACAAATCCAATCTATTCCGTAAGACTTCTAGTGCAGTTTTGATTCCTATGACAGATGGTAGACTGACATGCTTATAAAAGGAAATCATACGAACTCTCATAGAATTACAGTCAGCACTTTTCATTTGGATCAATTATGGCAAGAAAAAATGATCTTTAAACAATGAAAACAAGTGCATACATAGGCATAAATCACTTAAGAACCCTAGATCTTT